GCCCCCCTGTCAACTGCACCCCTACTGCTGACTATTCAACCAGCCCCCCTGTCTGCTGCTCCCCTGTCGTCGATGGCTTCCCGTCCTGGTCAACGAGCTTAGCGCCTTGTTGGCCAATGGCGATGCCAATGGCCGGTGCCACAGGCGACGCCTCAAGGCTCCCCTCATTGCCGGTGGTCGACATGTGTCAACGCAGGCCGGTCTGCGATGGGGATGGGAAGAGCAAGGACAGGGGGAGGAGGAAGAACTTCAACAATATTCTCACCTGCAGGCTCGTCGACCTCGGCGATCAACGAGACTGTCGCTGTCGAGGTGTCCATCGGCGGGTGTGCCTGCGTCCGCCCCGACGCCGGCCCATTCTTTGCCTTCCACACCTCCAGCGACAGCGTCTCGTAGAAGATCACCTCGACTGACGTGACCACCTTGTTGTCGGTCAGGTCGAGCACCTCCCAGCCCTTACTCTCCGGCGACACGCCCAGGTGAAGCCCCAAATGAGCCTTCGGCGCCAGCTTCCCACCGCGCTGCTGCTAGGGAACCATGAACTGCACCATGCAGCCCCACACCCGCGCCAGCGTGAGGTCGGGCTTCTTCCCGGTCAGCAGCTGGTACGGCGTCATCCCCGGCGGTATCATCGACCGCTCCAAGCAGTCGCGCACCCAGACGGTCTGTCGTAGAGCGAGGTGCCACCAGTGGCACTGCACGCCCATGTGCAGCAGCATTGTCTTTGCAGACTCGATGGCCGTTCTGTTGCGGAGTGTAATGGGCACGTCAGGTCGTGGACGATGCCCATCCCGTCGTCGAAGTCGGTGAACTCCTTCCCGAGAAACTCCCCTCCCCAGTCTGAGTGGAGCATCAGCACCGACTTCTTTGCCTGCCATTCCACCAACACCAGCCACTTCAGGAACTCCCGCAGCACGTCGCTCTTCTTGGCGACCGGCATTGCCCACACGAATCGAGTGTGGCGCAGCAGGAAGTACAAGCTGCCATCCTTGGCAGCCACCCGAAATGGCCCGCACAAGTCAATGTGCACGACAGCCAGTGCCTCCTCAGCGTCCGAGCCCTTGTCGAGGAAGGTGTGCCGCACCAGCTCAGCTTTCCTCCGACACACGAGACACACGGCGGGTCTGATCCGGTCGACGGCTTGATGTCGAGCCCAGTAGCAACTTCATGCTTCGCCGGGCTCTTGATCCTGTCGACGCTGACGTGCGCGAGCCTTGCATGCAACCGATCAGGGGCTGACTTTGTCGCCGAGACGATCGTCCGCAGAGCCACCACCTCGATCGACGACGACCGTGTCGAGCAGGGGCGAAGGTCGGTGCAGAGGACTCGTCCGGTGTAGCTTGCTCGACCGAGCACCTCCCCGGTCGACCTTGTAAAGGTGGGACGGTGATCCGGTCCGGCGAAAACTTGAAGTAGCCATATGCCGATCCCGCCTGCCGTCACGTGCGTTGTCGCCGAGAGGCCTCCACCGCTTCGTAGAAGAGAGCGATGTTGACCATCAACGTTGGCACGCAAGCTGCCTGCAGTCGCCGTGGACCGCTGCACTCGCGCCTGACTCGTGTCGACGCCACCGTCGACCTTGATCACCCCTCTCTGCTTCGTGCCATCATTGCCGCTGAAACGTGCACCGCCGTCGACCTCGTCGTCGACGCCACCTTCGTTTCGTAACGGTCAAGGAGATGCAAGACCGGAAGGGTGCTCCGTCGCCCACTGCGCCCGGATGCCAAACTCGACGATAGCCCAGAGGATCGTCCCGTACTCGCCGTCCTCAGTACGTTTCCGCACATCAGCCAAGTGTGCATCCAAGGTGTCCGCTACTCCCGCATTAGCTACAGGGTCGACCATGGTGAGTAACGCAGCTACCGGCCTACGAACGACTTAGTAGGGGCAAAAGTAGGTTTCTATCTGAATGTAATTTGCTGGGCCGTCCACGCGTATCGCACCATGCGGAGATTCACTCGACAAGGTAGTGAGCTAAACTAGTGGGGGTTGGCACGAACTACTAGGAGTGATCGTAACTTTGCTTAGTTCCTTAGTGCTTGCACGTTCACGGGAGAAATCGGCAAGAGCTTTACTAGGCTTAGGTTGTATTGCTGAATAATTCAACAAGGAATGACAGAAATGACTACATCAGGCACCTAGCAAATCTGCAGCTAGCTTGGTCGACCGCCAGCACAGCTTGGTCGACCGCCTGCCAGCGTTGCGTAGAGGAGCCGTGCCAGCATTGCAGAAGGGCGACCTGCCAGCAGAGTAGGTCAACGGCGTGCCAACGCTGCAGCAGAGCGGCTGTGCAGAGTTTCCCCATAGGAGACAGCAGTGTGCACGCTTGCAGGTGCGCGCAGACGATCGGCCCGACTTGCATTGTTGTGCATCCGTCGGCTGTTGTCTGCGCCTGATGAGCCACATCAACTTTGGGATACTAGCCCGAAGTCGCCTTCGTCACTGCGACCTTGACGACGTTCGCGTGCCTCCACAGAACTCGTCGAGCAGGTTACCTGGTCGACCTGGACACCACCATGTGCTCTGGTCGACCACCAGGTGTCTCTGGTCGACCACCAAGTGCTCTAGTCGACCACCAAGTGCCTCTGGTCGACCACAGCTCCCGTCAAGCAACACCCTGGTCGACGGAGGGGTCCGTCGACCAGCACTGTTAGCTGTTATTGCCGAGCTCCCCTCGTCGACCGCTGCTCACTTGTTAGGTCGTCGGGCTGCTCTGTCGACCTCCCCGTCGAACTGCTCCTCCTGATCGACGGCCCACCCGTCGACCAGCTTGGTCAGCTGCAGTCGTCGAGCTGCCCTGGTCGACGGCTCCAGCTCCACTGTAGTCCTGTGCAGGTCGACCACCAACTTGTCGATCTGCCCCGCAAAAGAAGGCCGTCGAGCACCCCAGGTCGACGGCAACACTACAGTGATTCCGTGTAGCTCGACGAAGCCCGTCAAGCAGCTCCCTTACCGTGAACGGTCGGCTGCTTCTCCCATGCATCCGACCAGGACGTCAGCGTCGCCCAAGCGAGGTCGGGGCCACCTCCATTCCCGTTAACAACAGATAGTGTTATACACACACACCATTCCACGCTTCGCCTTCTCAAGTTGCAGCCGCATCTGTGTCGTCGCCAGGCTAGATGGATGGAGTTCATAGAGGAGAATTTTCACTGCAGTATAGAGTACAAGCCAGGCGTTCGCAACCCAACAGATCCGCTCACTCGTCCTAGTTACCAGTTCGCTAGCCTCATAGTCAGTGCAGGCCATCCAATTCTCACAGCACTCTTCGAGCACAGTTACACCGTTGATCCCTTCTTCATACAACTACCCCCCCGTAGAAGCAGAGGTGTAGGGTAGTGCCTACATACGGAAGGGTACAGCACGAATTCGGGTTCCAGCTACCTCCCTCTTCGACAGCTCCTTCTTTCCGAGGCACACGACGTAGTTAGTGCATGTCACTTCGGAGTAGATAAGACGGTTAAGACGCTTAGTCGCACGTACTTTAGGCTAGGGCTTGCGGCAGACGTAGAGGATCACATTCGCTCGTGCGACGTATGAAGTCCTCTCGCCAGCGCAAAGCAGGACTTTTGCAGCCGATTCCACCACCCGACCGTCCTTGGCAGGTAGTTACGATAGATTTCAACATGGCTTTATCGCACACAGTTAGGGGTCACGACGCCATCTTCGTGGTAGTAAACAAGTTCTCTCGAGCAGCGCACTTCATCCCCCTGCATGGCAAAGTTACGGCAGAGGAAGCCGCGGCGCTGTTCGTAGATAACAGAGTCCGACTGCACGGGGCTCTGGATTCCATCATTTCCAACCACGACACTCGTTTCACCTTGAAGTTCTGGAAGCAGATTTTTGCACTTTTTAGACTCGCTTAGCCATGTCTTCAGCGTACCATCTCGAGACAGGCGGATAGACCGAGCGCGTGAACCAGCCATTGGAATAGATTCTTCGCATCATCACGATGCATGACGTAGCAGCATGGGACAAGAAGCTGAGCATGGCCGAGTTCGCTTACAACAACACGCATCATTCCGCCACAGGCATGTCACCAAATTTCGCACTGTACAGTCAGCACCCTAATGTCCCCTCTCGTGTCGATCTCACACCCACAGTCCCACGTGTTGACAATCTCCACCAGATCTCACCTTCATTCACGATCACATGAGGAAGCACCTTGAGCTCGCAAATGCAGGCATGGCACGCACCACCAACCGTAGTCGTCGTGAGGTGTCATTTGCAGTCGACAGCCATGTCCTTTTGGATAGCCGCAACCTCCAACTGCCGCAGGACAACAATCTTCGTCCACGTTTCATTGGTCCATTTGTCATCGAGCGCACTTGCTCCAGTCGCATACCGCCTTTGCCTTCCCGCTCATTTGCGCATGCACCCATCATTCCTCGAATTCGAGGCTTAGTACAGCCCCCCCCCCCCCCCCCCTCCCCTCCCCCGCGTGTTAGCTACCTGAGGGTTTTCTATTTCAAGGAAGTCTTACGGGGGATTACTGTAGTGCAGCTCAGAGTTGTTTCTCATCAGCTTGGCACCGCCCTTCACCTAGCCTATGGGGTGTGTCAATGTACACTTGTACAGGTTGTTGGAGTGCTTTGTTAGGTTTAGTTGGGTTGCGTGTAGAGGTATGGGTTGTTGTTATGTTCCCCATTCTGGCACAGTCTTCATTCTCTAACATACAAAACAGTTCAAATAAAAAATAAAGGAAACTAGGGTCAATATTGAAGTCCCACTTTTTTAACACGTCAACCCTGACCTACCGTAAACCCCCGTATATAAGACCCCCTCCAGTTGTAGACCCCCAGGTCTATAATACGGGGGGGGTGGGTACTCTATTTGAGTATATCCGAGTTATACCCCCCTAAATGGCTCATTATGTTATAAGACCCCCCACATCCTAGAAAAGGGCGTATTTTCAGCGAATGCAATAGAAAATGGTCATATTCGATGTTCAGGTAGAGCCATCACACCCATGAACGCTCATGCATATGCCCATTATCAATCTAATCCTGGCCAGCAACCCAGATCTCTGCCTCCTCCCTATCATATCGCCCTTCTGCCCACCACTCATCGCCATCCTCCTCCTCACCCACTCCACCCTCCACCTCCGCACTGCCTTCCTCCTCACCCTCCTCACCCTCCTCGTCCTCCTCCTCGTCCCCCTCCTCCCCCTCCTCCTCCTCCTCCTCCTCCTCCTCCTCCTCCTCCTCCTCCTCCTCCTCCTCCTCCTCCTCCTCCGTCCCCTCCTCCTCCTCAGATGGAGAGGAGGCAGCATCCCTGTCCTTGCTGGAAGGGGCAGCAGGTTCAGGGTAGAAAGGGTTGGGGATGAGCTCTTCGAGCTCCTCGCACACATCCTCCAGCACCTCCACGCCCGCCTTATCGCGGAGTTGAGCGAGGATCAGATGATCCTCACTTCCGTCAACGGCGGTGGAGATGCCGCAGGTTACAAAGGCTTTCTTAATCAAATCTTCTGAGACGTCGGCCCATGCCTACGCAATCCAGCAGAGATTTTTCTCCGGGGGAGGTTTCTTCAAACTCCCTGCGGGAAATGTCATGGGTAGGGGCAGACCTGAGTCACCACGCGGTCAAGGTACACTGTGAAACGGGTACAACTCACGTGCTCACCTGCAGGGGTGAATGAGTCAATCCCCTCATCCTGGGACCACGTGGAGTAGCGGTGGCGGACCCCGGCTTTGAAGCTGCGGTTCACCGAAACGTCCAAGGGCTGCACCAGCGAGGTGCAACCGCCAGGGATCACCGCGCGCGTCAGCTTGAACAGCTTCATCGTCTGGCCGACTGCTTCCGTGGTGTGCCCTCGGTAGGAGTCGAGGATGAGGAGCGCATCCTTGCGGTGCCTTTCCTCTTCGCAGTGCGGCTTCAGGAAGGGGACGAGAACCTTCGTTGTCTAGTCTTGGACAAGGTTCTCGTCAATCCAGCCCTTCTCCTGGGCTCGCACGACAACACCTACACAACAAAAAAGAAACATTAGCGGTGGAATTCCTTCACCAAACTTCGGCATAACATCCGGTAAGTCACAGCTCACCTCGGGGTATAGGGATCTTCGGCAAGGTCTTCCGCTTGAAGACCACATACGGAGGGAGCTTCAAGTCGCCCGCGGTCACCGCCAGCATGACCGTGGCGCGCTGCTCCTCGTACCCCGCGGTGCGCACGTGCACGGTCCGAGCACCTTTCATCTCGAGGGTGCGCTCGGCAGGCATCTCAAGGAACAGGGGTGTCTAATCCGCGTTCACGATCAGGTTGAAGGGGTAGGAGTTGAGCACGCGCATCTGCCTCACGAATTCCCAGAAGGCCTCGCACCTCTGCTTGCAATCTGCATCGCACGGGATAAGGGGGTGTCTGGCCAGGTGGATATGGTACGACTTGACATCTGAAAACATTGGGTAGGCCGAGGTCAAGGTACCTGCAGCGAGCTTCTACCCAATCTCTTCACGCGCTGCACCAGTGACCACCGCCTGCGGAACCGCTTTGTCCAACGGTGGGACGAACACCACTTCGCCTGGGGGTGGCGATGCTTCATGTAGGTCGCCGCCCAACTCTGCAGCAAACTCATGGAAACCGGCAGGCCTCTCCTACAGTGCAACAGGAACCTGCGGTAGACCGCAACCTCCATATCGGGGTACTTGGGCTTTCGTCCCGCACCAGTGAGACGTTGGCGACACCCTGCCGCTTTGTCGAGCCGCTCCTTCAAGCCGCGGATCTGCTTTGGCTGGACTTTGGCGAGCCTGGCCAGACCCCAGACGCTCATAGGGGGCTGCGCGTCAGGCATCTTGACCCAGTAAAGCTTTTCCTTGACGGTGTAAGCTTTCCGCGCTTTCTGCGTTCGTCGGCGCCTTGGCTCCGGCGTCTCTACGTCGCGCACCCGCTTCTTCTGTCCCCGCGGTCGGCTTGAAACCGGAAACTCTGGAACCTTCACCTGCGGAAACGGACGGCGTGGGCTACCGCTGGACTCCTTATCTGTCTCCTTGCTGCTAGAGGAACTTAGCGTTGGCATGACGGGCCTGGGCGAGGGCCTAGGAACAGGAGGATTCTGAACTTTCTTGCGGCGCCTGCGTCGAGCACCGGACGTCCCATTATCTGGTGATGTCACCATGGCGGCTAAAGTGGGGATAAAGTGGCTGCTAGCTTCGAGGTGAAATAGAACAGGCAGCCATTTTCTACATGGCAGCCAGCCGAGCACATGAAGGGGGAAAGAAATAGGAGGGGGAAGTGAAGACAGCCCTCACAAACAAGGACGTGCCAAAAGATCCCGCCCTTTCCAAGTCCCGTGCAGCCCGCACGAAGCGTGCATGGGGTGTGAAGGTCGAGACGACACTGCTCGCTGGGCCCATCAAACGGTGTGGTGTTTGTGGCCAATGGGAGGAGGCTCCCAGATAGGGTTCGTGATGACGTGGGTTTGGCCCGTGTGGAGACCAGTTCGAGTATCTTTGGGAGGTGCTAAAAACGGAACAATTCCAATTCAATTATTTTGAGCTCCAAAACAATAGTCTTAAAAGGTCAATTTGAAAAGACCCGGGTCTTATAAAACCCTAGGGTCTTATATACGGGGTTTTACGGTAAGTGCATATCATTATTCAAAACCATACCGGTACGCGGTATAAAGAGATTTGTGGTACAGGTAGCTTTATGAATGTAACAAGTACTACATCGATAGGGAAAGCCCTTTCGTGCTACCGTACCATACACACTTTTGTTGGTCAAGTGCTAGTTGAAGTGCTACGAGGTCTACTCTCGTCAGAAGGCCTGTTTCTGCTTGCACACGCATGAGAGCGCTTCTTTTGCAATGAGAACTCGGAAACTCAATGGGATAGAACATAATGGGCAGAGACAAGAACAAGAACCAGGAGCAGCCTACCCCCAAGTGTATCCTACCTCAGCACATCCTGAGCAGCAGCATTGGCATGGGTGTGTCAGCATTACTCCACCTTCCCGTGACCCAGCACCCCCCCATGGACCTTGGCATGGCTGTCCGGCATTCCAGGGGAGACGGGGCCATTGGAGGGGGAGGAGTGGGGGGAGGCGTGGGGGGAGGCGTGGAGAGGCGGCAGCGGCGGGATGTACTTGAGCCCCACCAGGTCCGCCACCTCGTCCAGCACCTGGGGGGAGTGGGGGGGGGGGGGGGGGGATCAGGGGGGAGAGAGGAAGAGGGCGAGTGAGAGGGAGAGGGAGAGAGGAGGGAGGGGAGGGATGTTGCATCAAGCGACGAGTGTGTGGGCATGGCACAGACGCTGGGTTGATAGTGCGCAAGGAGACGCCCATGTACTCATCCGTGGACGGCCTCACTGCTGACCTCGCGATGCAGCACCGTGACTCAGGCGCAGCTTGGACGGGTGATTGTAACATCACCAGGGGCGAGCTTGCTAGCACGGGGAATGGCTGGGCAGCACGCCGGCCAGCAGACGGAAAGATGTCTCACTCACGGCACCGGGGCTCACTCACGGCATCGGGGCTCACTCACGGCACCGGGGCTCACTCACGGCACCGGGGCTCACTCACGGCACCGGGGCTCACTCACGGCACCAGGGCTCACTCACGGCACCGGGGCTCACTCACGGCACCGGGGCTCACTCACGGCACCGGGGCTCACTCACGGCACCGGGGCTCACTCACGGCACCGGGGCTCACTCACGGCACCGGGGCTCACTCACGGCACCGGGGCTCACTCACGGCACCGGGGCTCACTCACGGCACCGGGGCTCACTCACGGCACCGGGGCTCACTCACGGCACCGGGGCTCACTCACGGCACCGGGGCTCACTCACGGCACCGGGGCTCACTCACGACACCGGGGCTCACTCACGACACCGGGGCTCACTCACGGCACCAGGGCTCACTCACGGCACCGGGGCTCACTCACGGCACCGGGGCTCACTCACGGCACCGGGGCTCACTCACGGCACCGGGGCTCACTCACGGCACCGGGGCTCACTCACGGCACCGGGGCTCACTCACGGCACCGGGGCTCACTCACGGCACCGGGGCTCACTCACGGCACCGGGGCTCACTCACGGCACCGGGGCTCACTCACGGCACCGGGGCTCACTCACGGCACCGGGGCTCACTCACGGCACCGGGGCTCACTCACGGCACCGGGGCTCACTCACGGCACCGGGGCTCACTCACGGCACCAGGGCTCACTCACGGCACCGGGGCTCACTCACGGCACCGGGGCTCACTCACGGCACCGGGGCTCACTCACGGCACCGGGGCTCACTCACGGCACCGGGGCTCACTCACGGCACCGGGGCTCACTCACGGCACCGGGGCTCTTCCTCCTGGCAGTTGAAACGTACGCCTGCCCTTGCTCTGAGGTCCTCGATTTCATCAAGCTCGTAGCTAGGGCAGCGGCAAGGAGGCTCTTCACTGCGGATCCTACGACACCAGGCAGCTCAGCTGGGCAGTGCGAGCAGGCGCTGGCCTTCCATAACAAGGCCAACCTGCCCTCTCAGCCTGAGCACCCGCCTGTTGTTTCCCATTGAGGTTTGCGGTGTTTGCGGCAGATGTTTGCGGTGCAATAGCTTTAGGTTACTCACCTTCTCTATCTGTTTGCGGTGCAATAGCTTTAGGTTACTCACCTTCTCTATCTGTTTGCGGTGCAATAGCTTTAGGTTACTCACCTTCTCTATCTGTTTGCGGTGCAATAGCTTTAGGTTACTCACCTTCTCTATCTGTTTGCGGTGCAATAGCTTTAGGTTACTCACCTTCTCTATCTGTTTGCGGTGCAATAGCTTTAGGTTACTCACCTTCTCTATCTGTTTGCGGTGCAATAGCTTTAGGTTACTCACCTTCTCTATCTGTTTGCGGTGCAATAGCTTTAGGTTACTCACCTTCTCTATCTGTTTGCGGTGCAATAGCTTTAGGTTACTCACCTTCTCTATCTGTTTGCGGTGCAATAGCTTTAGGTTACTCACCTGCTCTATCTGTTTGCGGTGCAATAGCTTTAGGTTACTCACCTTCTCTATCTGTTTGCGGTGCAATAGCTTTAGGTTACTCACCTTCTCTATCTGTTTGCGGTGCAATAGCTTTAGGTTACTCACCTTCTCTATCTGTTTGCGGTGCAATAGCTTTAGGTTACTCACCTTCTCTATCTGTTTGCAGTGCAATAGCTTTAGGTTACTCACCTTTTCTGTCTGTTTGCGGTGCAATGGCTTTAAGATACTCGCCTTTTCAATCTGTTTGCAGTGCTATAGCTTTAAGATACTCACCTTCTCTATCTGTTTGCGTTGCAATAGCTTTAAGATACTCACCTTTTCTAACTGTTTGCGGTGCAATAGCTTTAAGATACTCACCTTTCCTATCTGTTTGCAGTGCTATAGCTTTAAGATACTCACCTTTCCTATCTGTTTGCGGTGCTATAGCTTTAAGATACTCACCTTTTCTATCTGTTTGCGGTGCAAGAGCTTTAAGATACTCACCTTTTCGATCTGTTTGCAGTGCTATAGCTTTAAGATACTCACCTTTTTTATCTGTTTGCGGTGCAATAGCTTTAAGAGACTCACCTTCTCTATCTGTTTGCAGTGCTATAGCTTTAGGATACTCACCCTTTCTATCTGTTTGCGGTGCAATAGCTTTAAGATACTCACCTTCTCTATCTGTTTGCGGTGATATAGCTTTAGGATACTCACCTTTTCTATCTCTTTGAGGTGCTATAGCTTTAGGATACTGTAACACCCCGGATATAAGACCCCCTCCAGTTGTAGACCCCCAGGGCTATAATACGGAGGGGGGTATGCTAAATAGGTCGTTTATAGTTATACCCCCCTAAATGGGGGCTAACGTTATAAGACCCCCCTCCCCCTGGAGAATTGGTCAATTCTCAGGCAATGAATGCAATTCTGATTGCTTTTCTACCCTTTTCCTCACCAAATCCCATAAAATGTTCATTAACAAGGCGTAACAGCCAGTCACAAAAGCACATCTACAAATCATCCTGTCCATTCCGTTTATTCATTTGAATGCTAAAAACAAAATTCATTCCGCGTAAAAAAGAAACGGAGCACATAGTATTGAGATGTATGGCTTCCAAAAACACGAGTAATATACATGACCTTATGATAAGACCCGGTTCTTATAAAATGTAGCCAACTGTTAAGAAAACCCCCATCTTTGGGGTGGGATTCTTATAATAGCCCCGGGTTTTTTATCCGGGGTATTACGGCACTCAAATTTTCTATGTGTTTGCCTGTTCCTCCTGTGCCCAACATATAGTCATACAAGGACCGCTTGAAAGGTGAGGGGCCGTGATGGGATGGGCACAAGTGTGGGTTCAGGGATTATTGAAAGAGCGAGAGAGAGATCCCTCAGCTCTGCGCCCTCTGCCCTCTAACCTCTGCCGTCTGTCCCCTACCCATGCAGCACCTGCTGACTGTCCGTCAGCAAGCACAGGTGCCCCGGGGACTCCATGGAGCCAGTCACGTGGTTCGGGGACTCCATGGAGCCAGTCACGTGGTTCGGGGACTCCATGGAGCCAGTCACGTGATTCGGGGTAGCAGCAGCACTGTGACGTGACGACCCCACACACACCCGCCACCACAACCCCATGAGCAGTACGCAGCTCAGCGCACCAACTGCCCGCCGCCTATGAGTCGCGGAGGAACAAATGGAGCCTTCGCCGCTCCTCCTCCCGCCCCCACAAGCCGTGCCTCTGCTCGAAGGCCATCCGCGGAGGTCAAAGCAGAGGAGATGGGGGCGATGGGGCCCTGGACGAGAGACTCGCCCTGGACGAGAGACTCGCCCTGGACGAGAGACTCGCCCTGGACGAGAGACTCGCCCTGGACGAGAGACTCCAACGTGCCGCCCTGCGCCCACCGCAGGTGCTGTCCAGCGAGGAGGGCAGGGCGCTGTCCAGCAAGGAGGGCAGGGCGCTGTCCAGCAAGGAGGGCAGGGCGCTGTCCAGCAAGGAGGGCAGGGCGCTGTCCAGCAAGGAGGGCAGGGCGCTGTCCAGCAAGGAGGGCAGGGCGCTGTCCAGCAAGGAGGGCAGGGCGCTGTCCAGCAAGGAGGGCAGGGCGCTGTCCAGCAAGGAGGGCAGGGCGCTGTCCAGCAAGGAGGGCAGGGCCTGGAGTGCAGGTGTACTTGGCAGTCACTGTGCACGCCATTCCTCCCGCGCCCACGGCTGCTACACTGCCCGCACTCACCACCTGACTTGAACTACCGGTACCCAGCCACGGGCCAGCTGCCCGGCGGGACAGAGGACAGCATGGTGTATCACAACCAGCACGCACCTCGCCCCGACCATGACGCTGCCCCGACCATGACGCTGCCCCGACCAACCATGACGCTGCCAAGTGGATGCGGCACAAGTGGATGCGGCACAAGTGGATGCAGCACAAGTGGATGCGGCACAAGTGGATGCAGCACAAGTGGATGCGGCACAAGTGGATGCGGCACAAGTGGATGCGGCACAAGTGGATGCGGCACAAGTGGATGCGGCACAAGTGGATGCAGCACAAGTGGATGCGGCACAAGTGGATGCGGCACAAGTGGATGCGGCACAAGTGGATGCGGCACAAGTGGATGCGGCACAAGTGGATGCGGCACAAGTGGATGCGGCACAAGTGGATGCGGCACAAGTGGATGCGGCACAAGTGGATGCAGCACAAGTGGATGCGGCACAAGTGGATGCAGCACAAGTGGATGCGGCACAAGTGGATGCGGCACAAGTGGATGCGGCACAAGTGGATGCGGCACAAGTGGATGCAGCACAAGTGGATGCGGCACAAGTGGATGCGGCACAAGTGGATGCGGCACAAGTGGATGCGGCACAAGTGGATGCGGCACAAGTGGCTGGCCGAGCGCGGGAACTTGGTGAAATCCCTGCGAGCCACTCCAGTCTTGACGCCATCACCACAAGTCCTTTGTGCCTTAGCATCAAGTCACCCAGAGGCTACCCAACCAGTCCCTGACCGGGTGGCTGCTTTCAGCCCAGAGATCGTCCTATCTATACCGACCCGCGACATCCGTCACATTCACCCGCCGTACCGCTCACAAGCGTGTCACAAAATTCAAGGGCTAACTTCGGCTATTTGCTCCGTTGCGCAACGCGCTGCTTCAGCGGCCCTACAACTAGTTAAAGCAATCATACAAGAAATGTTGAAGGGTTATGCACGCAATCGTGATTTAACCGACGCATTCACCCACGTTACCGCCGCATTCACCCACCTTACGACTGCACTCACCTCCCCGGGACAACCTCTGCGCTACGGCCTCAAACATTGCCCCTCATGTCTCCTGCACTACATCACAATTTCACCGCCGAGCCTGCGGGTAATGAGCAGGCCCATGGGCACAACGGCTGCGTGCACGACACTGGTGACGGAGCGCCTTGCTGCGTGCACGACACTGGTGACGGAGCGCCTTGCCGTAGCAGCTGAGCCTCGCCCGGTCATGGCGCACATGAACCCCCGGCTGTGCCGCCTGCTCCCCACACACTGTGTCAGCCGGCGGGCTTCTTCCTCGCCACAATGACACCCATGGCGCCCATGCCAGCAGAAGAGTGGTGGGCGTGGGGGAAAAGCCTCCTCAGCACCTATCGGAAGCGCATGTCGCCATCTGGATCTCGACTCCGGCAAGGTGTGGCTCTGCCACATCACAATTGCAAACCCAATCTGTCACCAGGACCCCCTCGCTAGTCGCGCTCCTGGCTGAGCCGCAAGGGCGGGTGCAACTGGAAAAGAGGCACACTTGGGTGGGCTTCCATGTGCTCGCGCGTGAGGCACACTTGGGTGGGCTTCCATGTGCTCGCACGTGAGGCACACTTGGGTGGGCTTCCATGTGCTCGCGCGTGAGGCACACTTGGGTGGGCTTCCATGTGCTCGCGCGTGAGGCACACTTGGGTGGGCTTCCATGTGCTCGCGCGTGAGGCACACTTGGGTGGTCTTCCATGTGCTCGCGCGTGAGGCACACTTGGGTGGGCTTCCATGTGCTCGCGCGTGAGGCACACTTGGGTGGTCTTCCATGTGCTCGCGCGTGAGGCACACTTGGGTGGGCTTCCATGTGCTCGCGCGTGAGGCACACTTGGGTGGTCTTCCATGTGCTCGCGCGTGAGGCACACTTGGGTGGGCTTCCATGTGCTCGCGCGTGAGGCACACTTGGGTGGGCTTCCATGTGCTCGCGCGTGAGGCACATGGCTACCCCTTGCCAGGGGTTTGGAATGTCGTTTTTTCAAATAGACTGGTGCGAGCGTGAGTGATGAATGCATCTAAAGAGAGCACTTGCATCTCGAAACGTATTCACACCTTGAGGGCTCATTTGCACCTTGAGGGCGCATTCGCACCTTAAGGGAACATTCGAACCTTGAGGCCGCATTCGCACCTTAAGGGTGCATTCTCACCTTGAGGGCTCATTCTCACCTTGATGGTGCATTCAAACCTTGCGGGCGCATTCGGACCTTAAGGGCGCATTCTCACCTTGAGGGCGCATTTGCACCTTGAAGGTGCGAAGGGATACTCTACACCGGGAGCTGGACTACAGGAGAAGGCACGAGTGGTACGAGTGATCGTGTCTTTCCTTGAGTTCTCTCTATTTTTCTATTTTCGTGTTCATAGAGTAAAACGTCAAGAGATTCGCGAGCAAAAGCTGAGAACGATGAATACACCTATCAAGCAAGCAGGTAGTCCTCCAGCTCAGCACGGGGGCGGCTTGCCAACAAAGCAAGTCGACAGTGTGCCAACACAGCTCAAAGGCGGCTTGCCAACAAAGCAAGTCGACAGTGTGCCAACACAGCTCAAAGGCGGCTCGCCAACGTTAGAAGCCGGCGACCTGCCAACAGCGCACCAGCGCGGCTTGCCAACGCTGCAGCAAGGCGCCTTGCCAACGTTGCAACCACAGGTGACTATAGCGCACATGCGCGCACCACTTTGCAGGTGCTGGTTGACGGTTGCATGTCGTCCACCGTCACGCACGTCGTGCAGGTGTCAGGTCGGCTATGAGCCATCGGTTGCGCCAGATATGCCACGTCGACCTCGAGCTACCAGCCCGTAGGTCAATTTCGCCAAAACCTCCTGGGCAACATTTGTGCACCCGCGCTGAACTTCGTCGAACAGGTAACTATGCCGACCAGGTAATCCCCGGCGCCCACAAGTTGGCGCCTGCAAGTCGACGAACTCCTTCACTGTGGTCTTGCAGAAGTCGCCCAATTCTGACGACTTCCTCCTCGATGTCAGCGTCGTTCACTAACGGCAGCCGGCTGCACCTCCCACACACCCGGCTGAGATATCGGCTTCGCCCAAGCGAGGGCGGGGCCATTTTCCGTCAACAGTTGCGCATTCGCACCCTTGAGGGCGCATTCTCACCTTGAAAGCGCATTAGCACCTTGAGGGCGCATTCTCACCTTGAGGGCGTACTCAAGGTCGGCGCGGGTGTGAGCGGCGGAGATGCAGATGCGGGCGCGGCCCAGCAGCACAGGCGTGGCGGGGAAGCCTACCACCACCACCGCCACCTGCTCACAACAAGCAGGTCCGGGAGCGTTCTTATGTCCGCTTCGTGTAGCGGTGTGCCGATGGGCAGATGGGGAGATGGGCAGATGGTAGCAGATTGGAATGGGAATGGACAAGTGTGGAGATTCACACAGCTGCGCATTTAAAAAGGGAATGGTGTCGGACAGTAGAAGCAAGAAGGCTCTGCGATGGCAAGGCACAGTGATGGCAAGGCACAGTGATGGCAAGGCACAGTGATGGCAAGGCACAGTGATGGCAAGGCACAGTGATGGCAAGGCACAGTGATGGCAAGGCACAGTGATGGCAAGGCACAGTGATGGCAAGGCACAGTGATGGCAAGGCACAGTGATGGCAAGGCACAGTGATGGCAAGGCACAGTGATGGCAAGGCACAGTGATGGCAAGGCATTTAACACCTTGTCAGGATCGAGCCTCCAGAGGCAGCAGTGGGTGGCAGCAGCGGGTGGCAGCAGCGGGTGGCAGCAGCGGGTGGCAGCAGTGGGTGGCAGCAGCGGGTGGCAGCAGTGGGTGGCAGCAGCGGGTGGCAGCGGGGAGCGGGCGCTCACATGGCGTTTGAGGCATTCGCGGGAGAAGGCAGCGATCTTGCCGGGGTGGTAGATCATGATGGGCATCACGGGCGAGTCCTCATCGCCCAGCACCTCCAGCCCCAGGCGCTGCAGCTCCCCTCGGAACCAGTTGCAGTTCTCCCTCAGCTGCGCTAGCTTCTCCTGCCCTGCTCGCCCACCCCAGCGCGCACACATGGGCATAGGGGAACGTGAGGAGGAGGGGCGTGGGGGAGAGCACATGGGGTGCGGGCATGGAGCGGAGGTAGAGATAGTCATGTGGCGACTCATGGGGCATGCTAACTGCCATGCGCATGTGGGCGCAGCAGCTAAGGAGGAAAGTGCAGCCCCTGTGGAGGCGAGAGCAGCACATGAGCGTGGAGAGAGGTGGGGACAGCACAGGGAAGCTGACCTCTGGAGGAGCCGTCGTGGCCCAGCAGCAGCTTGAGCGCCGACAGGATCTGCTGCGCCGCTGCTGGCGCCATCGCCATCCCGTACAGGTGCCCGGGGCTCGTGGCCTTGAGATACGCTATCAGCTCCTGGTGAGGCACGCACAGATGGAGAGGGGGGAAGGCAGAGTGGAGGGAGTGGTGGGGATATACAAGTGCCATCGGCAGGTAAAACGATGTGTGCGATGGTTACAAGTGACGAAACGGGGAGGAGGCATGGGAGCAGAGAGCAGGTGAGCAGGGCGTGGGGAGCAGAGAGCAGGTGAGCAGGGCGTGGGGAGCGGGGCGGACGTGGGAGGCGGCGATGTAGCCACCGCAGGAGCCGAAGGACTTGGTGAAGGTGCCCATCAGCACGTCCACGTCAGCCGGGTCCACGCCCGCCACCTCGCACACGCCGCGCCCCGTGCGGCCCAGCGCGCCGATGCTGTGCGCCTCGTCGAGGAAGAGGTACGCCTTGTACTTGCGCTTGATGTCCACGATCTGTTGCAGGCGGCAGATCTCGCCCTCCATGCTGTAGATGCCCTCCACCACTATCAGCACCTTCTTCCACGGCCGGTGCGTGCGCGGCTGCCCCTCCGCTATCGCCGTGCGCAGCACCTGCTCCAGGTTCTCCGGCACTGCCCTCCCCACATGGGCACACGGTCGGATGAGGTGGGGTGAGGTGGGGACAGGGTGGGTGAGGCAGGGCGAGCAGGGAAGAGGCAACAGCGGGATGTGGTTTGACCACCTCATGCACATGCGGGCCCGTGACGCATGGGTTGCTTGCGAGGCATGGGTCGCGAGGCATGGGTTGCGAGGCATGGGTTGCGAGGCATGGGTTGCAGGGTACGGCAGTATGGCCCAAGGGGCTTACGTTGAGCAAAAAGCCCAAAGCAGCAGGTGCGAGAGGGAGTGGATGGGCTGACGGAGAAAGTTTGCACAGAGGGGTTGGCAAGGCGACGAGCAGCGGGTGAGGAGTGCAGGTGGGCGCACCGTTGTGTTGGAAGACCTTGATGCCGGCACCCGACGCACGCGCTCCCGCGATGATGCTGCAGTGGTTGAGCGAGTCACTGATGATCAGACTCCCCTGCCCTCCACACATGGCAGCAAGCAGTAGCACATCAAAGGATAGTCGCAGGCACAGGTATGAGTTGTGACTATGAGCTGGCAAAAATATGAGAAGCGCCTGCAAGTGAGTAGTGAGTGGTGAGAGGTGGGCGGGCAACGGCACACCTTGCCAACGAGGGCGCACCTTGCCAACGAGGGCGCACCTTGCCAACGAGGGCGCACCTTGCCAACGAGGGCGCACCTTGGCAACGAGGGCGCACCTTGCCAACGAGGGCGCACCTTGGCAACGAGGGCGCACCTTGCCAACGAGGGCGCACCTTGCCAACGAGGGCGCACCTTGCCAACGAGGGCGCACCTTGCCAACGAGGGCGCACCTTGCCAACGAGGGCGGGCAGCGTGAGGGAGTTGGT